GGTTGCGTCGAAGGTCCAAACCTCGAGGCTTACGACAACATCTTTAATGTTGTCAAGAATGCAACACTTAGAGATGCAACACTTAAACTCATTATTGTTGTCTCCAGCCAGTTACTGCAAACTCAAGAAGATATGACTTCGAGCACAGCCTATAACGAGCTTGGCACAGTAAGCTAATTGACGCTATCAACAAGAGAATCTTCGAGAGTTTCATGACAGAGAACCGGCGACCCTTAGCCCAGACAACCATATGATGTGCTCAGTTACAGAGTTTGGAATTCGAATGAAAGAAGACTGCGGAAAAGGTTAGTCTGAGCTAATCGCGAGCACAGACGACAGATTACAAGCGGCTCTGTTGAATCAGCTATGAAGCTTTGATAACTGTAGGTGATGGCTTTCACAGTGCCAAAGAACATTCACAAATACAGTTGTGTTTACTCTATCTATCTGGTAACAACACAGCTTCACTGGGATAACTTCTACAAGCCGTTCGGAAGTACGGCTTAAAATGGTGTATTGTTTACGTCAGACTAATGAACCAAATCGTAACCTTAATTTTGCTCATCGGTCAAGTGTCTTTACTATAAGGGCACACGGAGCGGTCTAGAGCTTAGCACTTAACAGTCTCCAATGTACAGTGTTGCCAGAAAACGTATGATTTCAATTTTTCTCTGCGCAGAAGCCTCTGTCAAAAGTCACAAGCTTCATTTGCCTCTGAAAGCCGCGATGCAGAGGGTGCCAACGATCATCTCACGAAGCGCTTAATAAAATTATTAGCCTAGGCCTCTTCATAAACTCAACAAATCTCTTGTTTTTATTGCGTCGTGTGTTTCGTCTCTTAATTCATTTTATGAAAAAACTATTGACTACATTCCCGTTTTGGCCTAATATAAGATAATAGTAAGTCATGATGCGGCGCCTTTCTTAGAACCAGCTTTTAGGTCAATGATATCTATGGTGCTGGAGACGAGCAACATCTGTCCAGCGACAATGAGGTTGAAAGTCGTAAGAAAGCGGCCTAACGGTCATGTACGACCTTCTTAGGTTATAAGAATTAAGGCAATTAAATTAAGGCAAACAAGTGTATCCATGAGATTCAGTATCAGCAATCAAAGAGTGTGGTAATAAAATGCTCACAAATAGATAGACCTTTAACATTTAACCGGTGAAGTTTCCGCCAAAAGTGTTTTTTCTCCTTAATTACGATGATAAATAATTGTTTCAAGACTTTTCAGGACAATGGTTCACGTTTACATTATATATCTTCACTAATGAGTCAGCGGCGGTTATGAGGATTAACCCTCAATGTCCCATAATAAGGATCGATGGATGTTGGCACAAACGGGTGTGCTTCGTGCAGCACAAATAACCTGCCTGGATTATAGTCAATTCAGTAAAAATGTACACATTCGTGTAGCAAGCAGCTAGCATGGTTTACGTTAATGCACTTCCCTTATTTAGCTGCATGTTTAGCGCCACACGGTATGTTATTCATCTGCTAAGTATCTTCGAAATGAACGACCTGTGTCTGCTATTGCCATAGCTAAAATCGAAAGTTTCGATGAATACGTCGAGTACAGCCGTGATCCACCTAGCGTCTCTAGCAGACGACAACAACTATAATAATAATAGTTGTTATCGTCTGACATTAGCAATAAGTAAAAGTACTCACGATAATTATGAGGCTTTTCGTGACTCATTCGTATCATAGAGAGACGACATTAATATATAATACCAATATTGTAACGCCAGATATACTTGTACTAGTCGCGTTATAAACCATTCCGGGATCTCATGGAAGCGTTTTTGAATGAAATTTACAGTTGAAATCGTCGTCGATTTTGATCCTACAAAAAGCTTGAACACTGAGATAGATAGTTTCGATTTGGCAAACTCATAAACGACCCTTATTAATCATTAATTAAATTCTGCCATCGAAAAAAAAATGACGATTGCAAAATAGTAGAGAAAAATCTAAAAAAAAAAATTCCGCTGAGGAACTGGTTTCGAAGACTAACTACAACGAGAACGAAAAATTAAAATACTTATTATTGACATAAAGTTCTGTCATTTGGTCACAGATGTTCACTCGTTTAGGAAGTGGCTCGTCGAAAACAATAACGGTGATATCTTTTTAAAAGAAAATTTTTCTATGCTTCGATAATCTATGAGGCCTTTTAATTATCCGAATAGAAGGCTTTGTATTTCGCAACATTGTTTTAATGACCTAAACTCAATATCGACTTAACTTAGCTGGCGTAGCTTTTTTTTTGCACGTAAAAAGGAACGTCCGTGCAATGCGAAATGCAATTTGAGATAGCCTACTTATTTTTGAGGAGGATCTGCACTGCATTTTCTTAGCGCTCCTTCAAATAGTAATATGGTGATTTGTTTCATTTAGTTCTGTGTTTTCTAGTCGTGGCAGCGGTCGATGAAACATTGTGTGTGTATGACCATCGAACCAAGGCTACGCGATATATACTACTCAGAAAGTTATTTCATATTTTCAAAACAAAGGCCTGCCACGTAACAATGACCATTATCTAGATACCAGAAAGAGACATAATTCTACGCGAAGCTCTCGTACCCCGGAAGATAAGCCACACTCTTGTTTTATCAAGCTGTTAAAAGTTATGGCTCTGTGTACAACGGATACTATAGCTCCCGCTCCTGTTTGCTTGTTGTCTTGACGACGCGTCCTTCGCGACGACAGGACGAAGGCCACAGAGAAACGACTGGGTCGAATAAGATGCGCAACGGCGATAAAGTAGCATGCTATCATAGCGAAGCGTTACTCCCTATGAACAGACGAAATCTTGATCATTGAAGATGTCATAGACTGCTACGTTAATCCGGTATTCTGTAAACGACTCACTTACGGTATTGCTAAACTGATAGTTAAGTATATGGATGGTAATTTAGAATGCCAAATTCTAACTTTTTATAGTCAACTTATCATTAAACTTACATTTAGGCTGTAGTGGACTCATCGACCACCTTGCGGTAGCCCGATGATTGTTTCATCCTTTGTTCAACGTTGTGTTGTGTGGGAGGCCTGAACGGGCCTTTGTTGAAGATTAATGCCGCAAGCGTCGCAGAGCTGCTAATACTGAAGCTAACTATTTGCCATTTCCGGGAGTATAGAAAACCGTTTGAGTTGAACTGGTAAATATAGAAACGGTGGCCTCACCATGATGGTTTGACGGATTTCCTACAGCTTTGGTTATAAATATTAGCTAAATACGAGGGTCTACGGTGACAACCTTCGTAGAAAACAGGAGACGAGAACGCAGGTTCTACGCCGTCATCTAAACAAAAATCACTGACAACCTACCTAGGCATTGAAGTTAAACCAGAAGATAAGGTTGACAGACACAATAAATCGCTTCAAGTCTCGCCAATGGCACGTACTAAATACATATGTGTAAATAAAGAAATTTGTTTATGTTTTTATTGTAGAGCGTTATAGGAAAGGTACAAGCGACAAAGTGCAAAACATTGAGTGTGAGAGACGCTCAAGCAGTCAGGTTATAGCAAATATCAAGGTCGATTTACGAATCAACAGATGTAAGTGCACTATATTCAGCTTATTCACTGGCAATGTTTTTCTAGTGAGCCGCTGGACAGCATTTTGAAACTATCCATTCCTTTCAGCTTCATCCATGAAGGCGCTATAGGTAATACTGGAAAATAGCTAAGTCACAATGAACCGGTCCTGACGTCGTACGATGTTAATACAGTTACTCTGGTCATTAATTACTACTGAGCCTCAGATGGTCATCAGCAAAGAACTGGCCCAGGCCGGATTAACTTGATTGAAGTGTATCCGACGCTATAAAGGTGTCGTTATGTAGAGTCATAGCTGTTCGAGTTGACTTCGCCGTTGTACTTCATTATTCTTTCGTTAGCTTTAACGTCGTTATCCTTAACCGGGACTGAGTTTTTTTTGGATGGAACGAATCCTTCGCCGAAAACAGCACAACCAATTTCACTAAATATTTACTCCGTAGAGGGTAATGTTTATCGTCTATATTGAATGTGCCTGTAGATAGAGATCTAGGTCCCGCTAGATGGTTACGTATATAGACAAGCTGGACATTGAGACGTTGTATTTGTTATTTTAAGGATGTACGCGTGAATACGCAACCTAAACACTCGATTAGGTGCGTGAGCGATAGGATAGAAGAACATTCTTTGCTAAATATATAGACTATTGCTCACATATATCTAAGTATTTGTTTTGTATGAAATAAATATTCATCTGAAGTTACTTCTGTTTATAGAAATAGTTTCCGATCATTAGATTGTTACTACTAAATAATCATATTGGTACATTAATGATATTTGCTTTTCCAAAGACAGGCTACCGGAACAGCTCCGCCGTCACGGGTTCTATATCGAAGCTTACGTTGAGTTCAATTAACTGGCGTAAATATGGATTTATCAATAAAATCAATTTCATTCATTCGTTTCTAATGTTATGAATATTGTCATCCTCCTCATAGATGTTAATTTCGAAACGTACATGTTTCTCATAAACTTCATTCCGATTCTTAATCTGTTTATAGTATCCGACAGGCTCGTAGCTTTCAATTGTAGTCAACTTTGTTGAATAAATAGGTTTCTCTCTACATCTGTTGACATCCAGCAAGCACGCGCCCGTAATGTGTATCTTGTAAATCCTGTCATATCAACCATCTAAAATCCGGTAGATAGAACATACAGCTGCGTAAACTAAATATGGTGGTCGGAAGGTTGAGCAAAAATGCACTTTGTCCTTAAATGGACCGAACAGCGAAGGTTTATAGTAAAAATAACTCGATCCCCGAAGAGATAGTTCAACATAAACAATGTGGCATCTATCGTGTGTATGGATAGCGATTTAGCTGCCGATTTGAGTGTCTAGCACATGGCGCTGACTAGTGTAAGTGTAAATTTTGAACCCATGCGGGCGATGGCTGTTCACCCCGTTTAGGACACGAGGCCCCCCTTATTTTCTGCTTGTTCTCTTCCTTTGGTTCTGTTGCCAATTCCATTCTCTTTCCTTTGCTTCTGCCTTTTATTTCGGCTCATCACGGTGTTCGTCTATCGTGAGGCTGCCTCGATAAGCGCCAATCTATCAGGCAACGATGGAGACACCGCTATGAAGACGCTATCGGACTCCTCAGTCAGTCTGTCTGTCCTCACCCGCGACAATCATACCCTCTCTCCCGACCGACGAAGAATGAAGTTAGCTCCCGAAGCTTCAGATGCATCTCCCCGCGGCGTTGACGCCAGAGTGCCCGAAGTCTTCGCGCTTGGCCACCTTTACTGGGTGCCTTCACACTTCTGCCAGCGAGCCAGTCAAGTGGATACAAAGGGCGACCGCCGTAGTCACCTCTGTGTTTACTCCGATTCACGCGCAGCTATCATACGTTGGTGGGACACTCCGGCACATGATCCGCTCATTATTTGCCACTGATAACCTCTGCTTAACATCATAGAGCCGAAGTAACAGAAACAGTTCAGAGAATAGAGACTTCATGTGGACCAGGACTCTTGCTACCCATTACTGATCTTATGAGATAGTTAAGTGCGTAAATTGCCTTATGGCTCTCCTACAGTTACGTGCAGTCGAACGTATGAGGGGCAACGTCGAATCGGCATGCGCAGCTCTTTACTAGACAGCGTCACTCAGATCGGTAACAGGTCGAGGCCGACACGGCCGTGTGCGTTTACCTTACGGCCTGACAGGGTGCGTGCACTACAAACATTTCAACACGTTCTGGAAACAAATCATTGAGTCGTATAGGTGAAGAAACAGTTGAAGACCGCTGTAGCTGTATGCCTTGAAGAACTTCGTGCACCTAGCCATTTTACATGACTGACCAGCCTGCGAAGCTGAACAAGAGTTGTGACTACCCGCAGGGTAAAGTAGTATTGGACGCCATTATTCTAAGAGTTCAGCAGCAGGCACAGCTGCATAGGTGCAGAGAAGGTGTTCATTCAAATGTGATAATTGTGTTAAGTGTTTGTCAAGCATCTGCCAGAAAATTACAACAGCGTGGGTCTTTGAAAGCTTATTTTCTTCGATCTAGAGTAAAGATGGTTGATTCACGGACAAGGGATCACGTGGTTTTTCTCTGCGCTAACCTGCTGACGCTATGGGGTGTTAGCATTGCTGGCGGTAAGTGCAATGTTTATTGCGATTTGACAGATATCACCCGAGTCTTTGGCGGATGGTCACAAAGTGTGAGCTGGTGGCACGTTGTTGGAGTTCCTTGATAGTTACCATGCGACGCGAACTTCAGCATATGAAACTTCACTACCCAGACGTTGACAAAGTTGAAAATGGCACATAAACTGAGAAGAAACCGAGAGCTCTATGTTAGAATTAATTAGTTAGTTGATTCAAGTGTGAACGTATTGATATAATAAGGTGACTAAATATCGAATAGGAGCGTTAATGTTTAATAGAATCTACTATTGCAGTAATAGCAGCAGCAGAGAGTACCAAATATTGAGCAGTAGACTATATTTTGATACGGGTTTGTTCCGCTCAATATTTTCTACACATGTAAATGGCTATCTTCGCTTACGTACACCATATAGTATTTATGTGAAACAGCAAGCCCCGTGATGCCTATCAATAACCAACATTATATGTGTGTCTACGTAGAAAATAAATTTAACTATGCATTTATTTCTGCGTGGCATAATGTGTCCTTAAGGCGCTACTGATTACGAGGTTAATAAACACCCAGAATGTTTCCTTAGCAACACAAACTACTGCAGACAAATAAAGCTGACCACTCTCTTATTGAGAATAACGTAGAACGCCATTAGCGTCCCAAGTGAATTGCCTAACTGGAAACTTAGCTAACGAACGAGATACTCGCCGAGACGGTCAACGGGACAGATTTAAGGAAGTTGTTTCTGTTTGAGCCTGACAAAGGTCACAAGATCGTTGCGCGTTTTAGCTTTGAGCATCTTCTAGAGTACTAATTTACTATTGAGAGGACGTGCCGATTATTACCTCTGCGTCGTACAGGTCTACTACGAAGGTTGCTGCCGTCGATCGGTGGACTTGGGTTCGAGGGGCGTCAATATAATATTTGCGCTTTGAAAGACACAAACGTCCGCTTTTTAGACGTGCGGATCAGTATAACAAATATAGATTCCAAATAACATTATAAAATATTTACAGCACACGGTTATATTGTATACCCTGTCCATGTCAGACGTATGGGTCAATTTCATATATTTAAATAAATATGGTAAATAAAGTAAATGGGCACCTTCAAACTGCCACCAGGTGAACGTGCTTGGTAAATGCACAAAGGGTAAAGTAAACGAATCAGGTGGGACGGAGTTACCACTGAAACGGGGCAACTCTGACAGACAAAAGAAAACTTTAGCTGTTGATATTTGGGTATATTCAAAGTCTAGGGCTCAATTCAGATATTGCGGAAACGTTCAGCCGGAGGCAACTGCATCAATTAGCCCTTTGGCTATTTAGTTGTTTTTATTTTCTCGTGCAATATTGTTTCTCTAAGGAAATTAGCTCTATTCTGAATGTGCGATTGTTCTTTCGTCTCAAAAGACGTAACATGGTGCTTCTGACTTCACTCGGTTCCTGGCGATGCCTATTAGGACGTAATTCGCTATGAATGAAACCCCTCAGCAGTATAATGAAACTTGCTTATAATAGTGTACAAAACGCTAAGAAAATGAAACACTTCCAGTTTTGATTGTTCACTCATAAGTTACGACAGAATCTTCATATCTAAGACTCCTACATTTCCAATTTTCTTATGATGACCAATATAACATGATAGTAGTGTAAGAGCTGCAATTATCTTACGCATCATTAGTAATTTCTGAGTCTGTAATTCAGAACTAGTAAGTTCTGGGTAGCATACATACAGCAAATGACGTCTAAGTAAGTGTTTCTGTTTTCGGTTCGCGTCGTGTCATCGCGATGGTTAAGACGAATTTGTCTCTCGTTCAAAGTGAAGCCGAAGATCACGCTTTCAAGTGTGGGAGCTACGCACCTAAGCGACGCCGCGAATAGGTGGTTCATAAGGATGTATATATATATATATATGTATATATATATATATATATATATGTATATATATATATAAATAACTGTTCGAATAGTTTTTCGAAATTAAGGACAGTATAAATAGTGAAAAAATAGATGTAAAAATGATTTTCCAGCTTTCCATCGATCCTCGCATACAAGTTACTTCTTAGCTCCGTAACAAATGACGGATATACATAGCTTCGTTTGTAATTTACAGTGTCAGAACAAAAACACCTGATCGCGTTTAACTCAATTGAATAGAATATAAAATGTCATTGATGATTTTTCGCTTCCGCTCTGAGACGCTCGGACATTTCTCACGCTTGGAATACTCGATGCACTAGACTTATCTCGGCCACTGTTAAACATTCTGTGTACACGTCTTGCGCTCGTAACAGTCCAGCGGTAACGTATTTGCCTGGACACATGACGGCCTAAGTTCTAAAACGGCCTAAAAACGAGCCTAGAAACACCTCGCTTCGTGCTGGGAACGAGCCGCCTGAGCTGGCGTTTGACAACGGTATGGATCATAAAATGCGAAATATTTCTCGTATATTCCTTCATTGAACTGCTAGTCGTTCATGTTCTAGTATCAGAGTATAGAACATGAATTACTGTTGAATAGCGTCATCGAAATCCGCAGGTTGCTATATGCTAACGAGACATATTGTTTTACTAAATCCCCGATCGATTCTTCCACGCAGAAATCGAGCCCCATAAAAAGTTCAATCTCTGCTTAGTAAGATCGTGCATATATTTGCTTCAACGTTATACAAACACTGTTGATTCGAATAGGATCACTGCCAACTTTATGCCACCTAGGCATGACGGAAGCTGCTTTGGCGAACAGACGCCCGAACACGCAAACTGGCATCGGGGCAATTAGGTTGGGTAGTTGCTTTCGTATTATTGTGACGGGACGAGAACTTCGTTTGCCATCCGACGACGATGCGGTTCAGAAACCGAATTATCTGTGGGGCGATCCGAGAGGGCCGACCCGTTTGGCAGTAACGCCATTCGACACTTATTTGATAATAACAATCAATAACAGTGACGATCATTTTATTTGAATGTAATTACTGTAATTACAAGTGAGAGCGAAATTACTTCTTCAATAAAAATCGGTACTGAAGTGGTCAAAGCACTTCGTTGTGGGTTGGGCGGGATGTCAGAATCTAACTACCAAACGAAGCGTCGTGCGACTTAGATCGTAGCGAATCGTAAATTTTAGAGCCGCCCTTGTTGGTCCATATACAGAGAACACGCCTAATAGGAGCATGACCGGCGACTGGCGGTTATCATCGTATGTTTTCACGGCAAAATAGGATGCGGGACCTTTTCCTGCGGCTGTTCCCATTTCACCTTTCCTTTATGCATTCACGAACGCCGTACATCATCATGTTGTTACAACATATTCAAACGTTGTGGAAGCTATATTTTGCTTGAAAATATTCGATGCATCGAAGGACCGACTGATTCATCACTGTCCTAATCAGCTTCATTTGACCTAGTCAATATTGGTTTGGTATATATTGTCGAAACGATACATTACCGTACCAGACAGCCAGCTGTTACATTAGCAATATTCCCGCTATGCTCAATAACGCTAGCATTTGACCATACCGATTCACAGAATACTTCAATTCCGCCTTTCTCACTCTGCCTGTACAGAACGAGGTGCGACGAAAATTCCACAATTACAGAAATACATATTTTTGTAATTGAGGAGTTTTTAATTTGTAATTGACTATTCACTTGTGAGTACCTGTGAAAAAGTGGGCTCGCCGCCCACATGCCGAAACAGCATCAAAGCAGATAAAGTGATATATGTATGTATGTATGTATGGCAAACACTGACATAATTATATATACTGTTACTTTGTGCTATTGTATTACTTTATCTATGCTGAGAATGGGACGGACGAAATGTCTCCTCCAACAATACGAGCAAAATTTTTTGTTGGATCTAAGTTCAGCTAAGTAAACGACGCTTTCTAAATCACGATGGCCCAACATTGTTGTTGTACTCCCGTTCTTCACTAAAACCGCTTTTCGCTAAAGGCGAGCGCAATGCTGCCAGTCAAAAACTTCAATATGGGCAACGATAGTCAATGTTGTCACTAAGCCTCACTATTAGTCCTAGTCCTCCATTTACTGATACCCATTGAATTCGTCACGGATCATCAGACCCACGTGGAGCCGTTCACGTTTTTATAGAATGCCTTATAGCCAAATACGTATATACAAGAGATGACTACGCCGATTAGACATGTTATGCGTTCGTGATTTGATGGCGTCAATCACTGTTAGAAAATAAAGCGTTTCGACGCCCGGGAGTCGTTTGAATATAATGATTACTATAGGATAATATATAGTGTGTACCCTGGAGATAATGTATAGCGTAACTTCTGATACCTAATGAAACTGACCGCGTATATGAGAACGACGGCCAATGGCTAAAATGATGTCGAAAAACGAAATTATAGTATGGGTTTGGTGATATGTCATTTTGCCTTACCTGATCGCTTTGACTCACGGTGAAAAAAAGGCTCATTGCACAACTGCATCCGGCAACCAGGTGTCGTTGAACAAGGAACACTTGGCCGCCCAAATGAAACTAGCACGGCCTAGAATAGGTTAGGTAGGACAGGCCTCGCTAGATCATGCGTAAATGCGACTAAAACACCCGACATGAGACAGTTACTATCAGTATCACCACTAGCAACTGCTGATTTTATTGAACCTAGAGATGATTGGCTATTGTTCGTAATGTCCCTCCAGCGTACAATTATGATGCCTGGTTTGCCTAAATCGAAACGCGTCTCCTGCTTTGCAAGTACCAGCAGCAGCGGACTCTTCAAGGCGGAACAATCCTTCGTTTTCAATACAAACAATAATTTCGTACAGACACTCTTCTATCCTAGGTAGCATTACAAGGGTGGAGAGATGGTCAAATGATCTACTGTAAATCCTGTCACTTTTACATATAGCTGAAAATACAACGGTTGTACAATTTGTAGATTCGTGAAATAGATAAATCCGTCATTGTACATCGAAAACAATCGCAAGTACTCAGAAGATGAGAACAAGGTACACAT